ATTTGGATTGTGAACACAAAGAACGTTACCGTCAACAACAGCGGAAGTGGAGCAGGTTTTGTCTGGATCCAAACCTCCACAACCTACTTCATGAGCGTCTATCTCTCATCTAACGAAGGGATTAGTGTGTTCCGACAGAAACTGTCAAATATAGAAGATGCGATCATTAAGTTCGACGGTGAAGTTATCGTAGCCGGAGACTTCAACGCTAAATCAGCTGAGTGGAGTGCTGCTTTCTCCGATACCAGAGGAAACGAGGTCGCTGACGTCGCGGCTAAACTCGACCTCATAGTGCTGAAAACCGGGAGCACAACAACGTTTAGATGACCAGGGTACCAAGAATCCATCCTCGATATCTCATTGACGACTCCAAGGACTGCCAACATGATCGAAGACTGAGTAGTATCCGAAGAATACAGTGGCAGTGATCACCAGTTCGTGACATACAGCGTCGGATTGGCATTTGCTCCGGTTTCACAACGCGACGTTTCTAAGCGGAAGTGGAATGCTAAGAGGCTTGATCCAGAGGCATTGAAAGCTTCGCTTGCATGAAGCTGGTCTATTCTTCAGAACAACACGACTCCGGATACGTGCAGCGAGACGGAAAAGGCAGTGCTAAATACGATGAAGGAAATTGCTGCCGCATGTGATGCCTCTATGCCGCGGCTGAAAAACCAGAGATTCCACAGGCCGGCGTACTGGTGGTCAGCAGACATAGCAGAACTTCGCAAAATATGCCATCAGCTACGTCGCCAAGCAACGAGAGCCGCTAAACGCTCCCCAAGCCAGGACGTGTATTCAAAAGAGTATAAGCAGGCCAAAAAGATACTAAACCGAGCCATCAAAGCAAGTAAAGCGAAGTTGTAGAAAGAGATCTGCAATGATCTCGACAATGACCTCTGGGGTAAAGCCTACTAAATTGTCGCCAAACGACTTGGAAAGGCTTCACCAGAGGCACCGAAGTCTCCTGCCATGATGGACAGCATTGTAGCGGAGCTTTTTCCCAAACACCTGCCGCAGGAAAAGAAACACCACACTAAGAACAGCGAAGTAACACCCTTCACAACTAAGGAACTACAAGACGCGGCCAAGTCACTCAAAACAGGAAAGGCACCTGGACCTGATGGCATCCCGGCATCGGTGATCAAGATTGTAGCCCTGGAATACCCAGACATACTGCTGAACACCTACAATGCATGCTTGGCAACTGGCACGTTTCCCACGGTCTGGAAACGGCAGAGATTGGTTCTCTTAGACAAAGGTAAGGGAACCCCCATAACGCCTTCGTCGTTTGGACCACTCTGTATGCTGTATATTGCTGGAAAACTGCTCGAGAAGCTCATAGAAGGGAGACTTCGCAACGACATAGACCGTGCTGGAGGTTTTGCCGCGAACCAACATGGCTTCCGGAAAGGACGTTCAACAGTAGGCGCGATACAGAAAGTCGTAAGGACAGCGAGAGAAGCATGGACTGGTAGCCTCAAAGTCCGCAAGGTGTGTCTCGTCCTCACGCTAGACATTAGAAATGCCTTTAACAGCGCAAATTGGAGAGATATTTTGGACGCCCTGGAGCACAGATTTGACGTAGAACCAGAGAATCTGGCACTAGTTGACAACTACCTTGACGAAAGAAAGCTAATAGCAGAAACCACGGAAGGCCCACAAGAATACGCCATAACGGCTGGCGTGCCGCAAGGCTCAATAATGGGGCCCGATCTATGGAACGCGGACTACGACGAGCTTCTTGAAATCCCGTTGCCAAAGCAAGTGGAGCTAACGGGCTTTGCAGACGACGTCGCGGCCACGATAATAGTAGACAGCGTAGAGGAGGCCGAACTACTAGTTCGGGAAACCATTGATGCTGTCGAGACTTGGCTTGATAAACACCACCTGAAACTCGCCAAGCACAAAACCGAGATGGTCGTTCTGACTCGCCAAAAATGGTTCCCAAAACCATTTGCTATGGACATGGGAGGAACAACACTCACGTCAACAAGGGCCCTGCGCTATCTAGGGGTAATGATAGACGAGAAACTATCTTTCCGTGAACACCTCGACAGTGCATGCAAGAAAGCCAGCAAGACTGTGTCTATCCTAGCACGAATTATGACCAACACCATGGGACCAAGAACAAAAAAGAGAAGAGTTCTTCTAGAAGCAGTCCACTCGGTACTGCTTTATGGAGCAGAGATATGGGCAGATATATTAAAGCAGAAGACCTACCGGCGAAAGATAGCAGCAGTACAGCGGCGAGGCGCTCTCAGGGTTGCCTGCACCTACCGCACAGTTTCCGAAGCGGCTGTATTGGTCATTGCAGGAGCCGCGCCCATCGACCTATTAGCGTTCGAAAGAGCAAAACTCTATGTCGCTAAAATCAGTGACAAAAACATGAAGGACGCAAGAACGAGGATAAAGGCGGAAACGCAGCAAGAGTGGCAGGACCGATGGACATCAGGAGAGACGGGCAGATGGACGGCGCGCCTGATCCCAAACATCAACGTCTGGCTTTCTCGGAAGCACGGGGATACGGACTTCTTCCTGACCCAGCTATTGACGGGACATGGGCAGTTCAATGCTTATCTTTTCAAGATGGGTTTGCACAGCACACCAACTTGCAAATACTGCCCAGACAAAATTGACAACGCCAAACACACGTTTTTCGAGTGTGATCGGTGGAAGGACGACAGAAACAGCATCGAAGAAACAATAGGCACCACGCTCTCCCTTGAGAGCTTGGTAACCTGCATGATAAAAAAAGAAGAAAACTGGTCAGCTGTCGCAGCCTACGCGCAGAGCCTTTTAAAAGAAAAAATCGCAGAAAGGGATTAGAAACCAGTAGTAACAAGAAGTAGGTGTCATGAGACACAACATGGACTGGATTGAAGTAATGCTAACGCGGTCCCGTTCCAGTCATCCCTGTAACATCTATAAAGGAAGGAGAGAGGAGGATGTTTAGTCGGTATTGTTGCAAATATTGACTTCCGAGTCCGACATACCCAGGCACCAACAACACCAAGCCCTGGCATACGTAAATGTATTTTACCTCCTCTATAAAAAAAAAAACACACACACACACACACACACATACACACACAGAAGCGTAAATCCGACCGCGCGACCTCCACGTGGTACGCTTTGGTTAACGCTAATGCCGGCGGTAATTGTATTCTTAAACTTTTCAAGAGAAAAGATTTCAAAAAAAAATTTTTTTTTTTTGAATTTTTTTTTTTGAATTTAAGCACTTTCTGGAACAAAAATGTGGAAAAACAATTTTTTTTCTCATTTTTAAAAATTATGAATTTTTCAGAGCAAAAAACGTGATCCTTTAATTTTTTCAAAAATTCGATCAAGTGAAACAAAAAAACGGCTGGCTGGATTAATTTGATTCTTTGTAGGGTTTTTGTGGATATATTGAACTGTAAAAGGCACACTTAACATTAGTGGTTTCCTCAATATTTTCGATCCAGCGCTTGATTTTCCAAAAAACCACCAAAAGCTCTTTTTTTGTTGCATTTTCAAATTCATGTGACAGAAAGAAAAAATTTTTTTTTGAAAAAGCAATGGACAGTCGTTAAGGGGAATTCATTCAAGTTCTTGAAACCTACCTTTAACTTTCTGTGCGATCATTGGTTGCTGAGATATCGATAATCAAAGACAAAAAGATCCTTTTCCATTTGAAGACCGATATCTCAGCAAGGAGTGGACGTATCAGGGTGTTTAAAAAAAGAAATTAAAGCTAAATGAACAAAGTATCCGATCATTATGGTGGTTAAGCTAAAAAATTCTTCCATGCCCGTAGACCAAAAAAAAAACTAAAAAAATTTTGAGAATTTTTTTGTTGCTGGTTTTTCTACGATTACTCAGAAACCGCGGAGGCTACAAAATTTTATCCAAAGTTCTTATCCAAAAACTAGACACTTGGAGCTACAATTTCCTTTTTTTTTATTTCCTGTACAACCATTTCTCTCAAAGTTACGGCCTGTTGAAAACTACCGAAAAATTTGGAATTTTTTTTTTGATCCCTTAATTTTTTCCAGTAGTGTATGATTGTATAGAAACATTTTTTCTCGGGTATAAGCGTGCTTATTAAGTCCAGGAATTTATTCATGTTGATGAAGTTATTAAAAATTATTTGTAATTAATTAATTACCAAGGTTGAATATTTAGTTCTGAATTTTTAGGGATTTAGTTTATTAATTTGGAAATATTGTTTAATTAATATAAGTGATAACTAAACATTTTAGTTGAGAGTTAACGGAATTTATTATAAAATTTGAAATAAAAGTAAAGTCAATTTAGTCATGTGTGGGTCATGTGTGTAATTTGTAACGTTACATTTTATGTAGCGTTACAGTAGTAGTGTATTTGAGTAATATTGTGAGTTTTTGTTGTGTGAGTACGGTAATGTTGTAATATTGAGGACTATCGTAAGTGCGTGTGTGTAAGTTAATTGTCTCGAGGATGTCGAGCTGCACTGCGGAAAAGTGACCGATGTAACGTGTCTCCCGGTCAGTTACCGATGACTGAACTCAGGTTCAGCCTCTTGGAGCGAGGTGATTATCGCAGAGGAGCGACTGAAATATCGTCGCCCCGAAGTACGGGAGTTTGGCAGGCTCATGCGGTAGCTTGCGGTTGACAGGCCTCGATTGCTGGATGCTCGAGGGTAGTCGCGAGTGCTGTCAAGGCTCCCAGGGGAGCGGAATCACTGGTAGATCTGGGACATTATAGTTGTGTGAGTGGGGAATGAGTGTGGAGTTTGTATGTCTGGGAGTAGCGTGAAAGTGAGTTGAGCGCATGTAGTAGGTAGTATGAATGTAGAGGGGTACGGTGAGAGGCAGTCTGGCTGGAGTAGTGAATGAGTAAGGATTGTTTTGTGTGGAAGTCTGGATTTATAAGGGAGTCTTGTGGAGTAGTGTTGCAACAATCGATTATAATCGCATTAACAATATCGATTTAGTCGATTAATCGTTTGCTATTAATCGATTTTTTCAATAATCGATTTAATCTGCTTGAAAAAAACGATTGTTATGAAGAAGATTATAAACGTTGGGAATAATTTTTCCGCAGGTCTCGTATTTCTCACCACATATCTCACGCGTGACAACTTCAAAGGGTTCCAATATTTTGCATGTCTTTTCAAGAATCTCAATATTGCCACCATCTAGCATAGTAGGCGCTTTACTATATTTTGATAGAACTGATGCTACTTCAGTTTTTAATAGTAAAAATCTTCGTAACATACAAAATGTTGAATTCCATCTTGTAACAACACTTTGTACAAGCCTTGTAGGCTTCAGGAAATCATCACCAGTTTCCTTTTTCAAATCGTCTGCAGCATTCACACAACGTTTGAAGTATGTTACAATGTCTTTGACATTATCAAGAAGTAACTTAAGATCACCTATTTTCTCAAGAGATTCCGAAACAACTAAATTTAAAGTGTGAGCCATACAAGGCAGTTGTCCTGATGTGGTGAAGGTATCTTTGATAGTTTTGGTAATATTAGCTGCATTATCAGATATTACCGCAACAATGTTTGAAATGCTCCATTTATTGCACATATCCTCCAATGTTTTTCCTAGATACTTAGCATCATGACTCTCATGTAAGTCTTGTACACCAATTATTGTTGATTCCAAGATGCCATTATAAATAGAATGAGAAGTGACTTCCATATAACTTTGAGTATTTGTCGTATCTGTCCAAACATCGCAAGTAAGACTTATATCATTTAAGCTGGCAATTTTTATTCTTTACTTTTGTAGCTATAGCGTTATATTTATTGTCAACTAGATTTTTTATAGTTTCGCGGCAGGGAATTTTATACAATGGACATAAAACCATCATAAAACTTTTAAACCCATCTTTTTCAACTGTACGAAATGGCAAACAATCCTTAATAATTATAAAGACGAGTGAGTTATTAATTTGTCCAGCTTTTCCCCGACCCTCTATAAAATAAATTATATTATTAATATTTTTCACTTCAGAAAATCATTTCATTTGGAATAAACTATCAAACCTTGGAAGGATTTAAGATTATTTATCACTACAGTTATCTGTGGTTGTGGAATCTGTGAAAAAATAGAAGAAAATTTAATTGTTAAAAAAAAAAAAAATAAATAAATGCTTGCCAAATTTATAAATTATACCAACAAACCTTTTTCACTGCTACTGTTTCTTGTGTACATGATGTTCTGGGGTTAATATTTTGAGCATCATCGACATTGATAGTTATTTCATTAGTAACTTGAAATACGAGCAATTGCATTAGCTTAATTCACACATAATGCATTAAGTGTTAATTGAATCTTATAATTTGAACAACTATTAGTAAATTCTCAATGATATGTAGTTTAAACTTACCAAGTGAGAAGTATTGTTAATAGAAAATAGATAGCTGGATGGTACCACTTCTTCAACATCATCATCATCAAGATCATAAGCATCACGAGCACTTGTGTCCACTAATAATTTAGATTCTGAGTTAGCTTTGATCTTTTTGTCAAATATAATACCATGAATTGACTTAACGTGGTTGTGGAGATTAGTAGTATTGTTTTTTGTTTTTATGATTTTCTCAAAAATTTTGCACTTTCCACTGCCGTCTGTCTTAATAAAATTTCTCCAAATTTCAGATTTTGGTGCCATATTTATCAGTGTATGAATAATATGTATCACATGAATCCAATAATTGATTAGCTTTGAGTATTTTGGTTATTGAACCATTAACTAATAATTAAAATTTGATAAAATATGACAAAGATGAAGATGTAAGAAAGAAGAATCGGAACAAAACAATAATAACTCGTACAATATACATAATATATAGCCATGAAAACAGAATTAAAATTTAAGTATCTACAGTGGATAAGAATTTTTTGGGTGACGCGACCGCTCATCCGCAGACAATTCATCCGTGACGATTAATCCGCGACACTTCATCCATGGACGATTGATCCGCACGATAACAACCTTGTTAAAAGGGCGCAACACAATTACAAGCTTCTGTGTTGAACAACCTTGTTAAAACGCGGATCTTCCGTCGTGCGGATCAAACGTCCGCGGATGAAATGTCGCGCATCAATCGTTGCGGATGAATTGTCTGCGGACGAAGTGTTACGTAACCGAATTTTGACATAGAATTCAGAGACATCTAGTTTCTGAAGGCGCGCGATCAGCTTGCATTTAAATATTAAGAAAAAAAAATCAGTGATCACATCGACAACTACAAATAATAGTCGATGGATACAATAAATATAATAAAAATTACTGTATTTTTTTCAATATTTTTCGATTATTTGATGTTTTCAACTATAATGTTGCAACATCGGCCGAGTAACAATCGATTGTGACAATCGATTATAAAAAAATACAAAGGTTTTATTTTCTGTAAGTACGTTAATAAAGTTGATTTACGTTCTTCGTAAATTCATCTGATTATATAAACATTAATATTATTCCAGCATCAATTTATAAAAAAAAATTTTATTTTCTTGAAAATCGATTGTAAACAATCGTTTTTAAAAAAATTTATTCGATTATTTTTTGATTAATCGAAAAGCCTACAATCGATTATAAAAAATCGAATTTAGAGATTGCAAAATCGATTAATCGATTGTCACTTTGCAACACTATTGTGGAGGTCCTCGTAGAGGACGGACGTACCGTCACGGCTAGGCAGCGTTAGATGAGTACCGTGAAAAGAAGTCAGTTACGAGCTCTCGTAGAGTAAGCATCGCATTGGAGAGTTACGTTAGTCTCTCGTATCGGAGCTGGCGTGCCTCAGGCTTGCTATTACCGTAGATGAATGGCCCAAGCCATTGTCTTTGTTTCGTGTTCGTTTGGGACTGCTTCCGCGATATTTTTAATATCAATTTATTTTATTTTACCGATTAATAAGGTTGAGTGTTCGTTTGAGAGTACCGATTAGTGTACTAGATATCGTTTAGTCCCGTTTTATAAGGAAATTATTTCCTCTGAAAGACCGAATCACGACCCTCTCTCCATAACCAGCATAACTGAGCGACACCGAGGTATTCCGTTACTGTCGAAGCCGTCCTTGGTCTTCTGGGGAACATAAAAATTAAGTTATCGTATCTCGGTTGCCGATACCGGTGAAACAAAAGTCGGCTGGCGCTTGTCGGGGTTCCTGGAGGATTTATGTCTGTGTGTGAATTTTGTTTGTATGTGTGCGTTTGGTATGTGAACAAAATTCGAGACGGTTTGAAAAGAACAATAGATGTGTGAGAGATTAGTATAGATTATCGATGACATCAGTTTGAAGGTATTTACTGCTTGTATTTGCCTGCAAAAATTTTTGAGTTAATCCCGTTAAGAATTTTTTCGAGAAGTTGAGACTGACGTCATCACGAAAGAATGTTATTGTTCGCTATTCCGGCTAGACTTCGAGCGTTCTCGAAAAGTACCGAAAAACGGCGGGAGAGTCCGCCATGTTTGGTCACGAGGCCTGAGGTCCTGCGCTGATTGTCTATCCCTTCCTACTGACTACCGTACGAGCCGCGTGGAGAGCGCTGAGCTCAGGGTTGCCAGATGCGGTGACTTATCGCCATTTAGGCTACTTTTAACAAGGCTTGGCGACTAAAATGTTATTGAAGGCGACTGGTCGCCGATAGGCGACTTTTGAAATTAAACAACAGAACGAAAATTTTTTTTTATTATTTTTATAAAAATTAATAAAGACTACGAAGAATTTTATCACATTTTTATATATTTAGATACACAGATCAAACTTTGCATGAATACTAAATATTTGAATCACGCGCTACGCAGGTGCCTACTTTGTGACCAATGATAAATCGTCTCCCATCTTTTACGAGTTTTAACTAACTTTAAGACTTTCATGAATTTTAGTTCAATTCCAATGCTCGTTAAATCTCGATGGATTTATTTACGTATAAGATTGTCGTTATTAATAGATAAAATTTTAATTAAATAATTCTGGTGCCATGACAAATGCGAAACATTACCGAGAAGCATGGGAAAATCAACCTATTTTCAAAGGTATGTAATTTTCACATTGTTAAAAGTAATATTTATTCCGGTTATAGGTTAACTGAAATTAAACAAATTTGTTAATTTTTCAATATTTTTTTTAGGTTGGCTGACTAAAAATTCAAGTGAGTTGATTACAGCGGGGCATGGCGAAGCACGATGTAAATTTTGCAAGGCATCTTTAAGAGCTCATGCTTCTGATTTGAAAAAGCATGCCGGTACCGGATCTCATCTAGCTCAAGCAAAATTGTGGAACATAAAAAAACAACCCTCTTTGATAAGTCATAGTACGTTCTTGTCGTATTATAAAATAACTATAAATTTTTATTTTTTCATATGAAAAAATAAATGCATTTTTATTTTTTAGTTAATTCCTCGCAACAGAAAGAACTGAAGATTGCGGAATTAAAAATGGTTTTGTACATAGCTAGTCACAGCTCAGTCAAGAGTGTTGATCACTTGGGCGAGGTTTTAAAAGAACTTGGAAAAGGAAGTCAATTGGAAAAATTACGCCTCCACCGGACCAAAGCTTCCAAGCTTATGTTAAATGTTGTGGCACCGGCAATGTTAGAGGAACTTATCGATGACATTGGTGAACAAGATTACTCTATAATCTTGGATGAGTCAACTGATGTATCAACTATTAAATACATGGCATATTGTGTTCGCTATTTCAGTCGATCCCTAGATTAGTTTGTTATTGATTTTCTCGGTTTTGACGAAGTGTTTACTGCCACAGCTGAAAGTTTGTTTAAAAACTTTAAAGAGTTTTTGACAAAAGTAGGCCTAAATATAAATAAACTTGTGGCTATTGGTACAGATGGAGCTAATAATATTTGTGGTTTTAAACATAGTTTGTTTACTCTGATCCGAAAAGAGTATCCTAATGTTCAGCTCATGAAATGTAGCTGCCATTCTCTCAGCCTATGTGCTTCGAAAGCAAGCGACGAGTTGCCAGCATCGGTTGAATTTCTGTTACGCGAGTCGAGAAATTGGTTTTCACGAAGCCCACTACGACAAACTACTTACAAAAACATGTACGAGAAGTTGAGTAGTGGTAATAAACCTCCTAAATTAGTACAGTTATCAGATACGCGTTGGTTAGCGTGGACAAACGAAGTTTCAGTTGTTTTGAAGCAATGGGATGCCTTAAAAGGTTTTTTTGTACAGTTAGAAGCTTCTCCGACAAACAAGTGTATTATCGCTCGAAATCTTGGCCAGATGTACCGAGACGATAGCAATCTTCTCTATTTAATTTTTTTAGATACTGTTCTAAAAGAAGTAACAGACTTGAACATAGCTTTTCAAAAAGCAAATGCTGATATTACAAAATTATATTCTGAGCTTAGAAGATTACTGTTGTCTGTTGCCTGACGCATATTTAAACCAATTTACTTAAAGCCTATTGCTCCTAAAACTGCATCTACAGCAATGCTACATGAAGCAGACATAAAAGCTGTAAACGGAGCTTTATTAAAAGCTAATTCGGAATTTGGAGATTCCTTATTGCCTTTGGATTCAGTTGATTTTGGGATAAAATTTTCAGAATATGCGAAAAAATCAACTATTTCTGCTGAGGGCTTAGTTACAGTAAAGTTGAGATCACGAGCATTCATGCTTAAACTATGTGAAGAACTGGTTAAACGTTTTCCTGCTAATGTTGCGGTACTGACTGATTTACGGTTTTTTACACCAAGTACTTGTATGGATCAAACTTCGAATCTGTCTGTAGAATGTTTACCGTGGGATCTTGCAGGTAATATTTACATATATACGCGCTTATAAATGTATGGATATATTATTTATTTATGTATTTAATTGTATGTAAAAAAATTTATTATGTAATTGTAGCTAGTGATGCCAATAAGGATGCGATTGAGACACAGTGGCGTACGTTAAGAACAATGAGGATCGATGAAGTGTGTGAATGTTGACATGAAAGTGTGAGCACAGTAAATTTTTGGACTTCGGTAAACAAAATTGAAAGCGCTGATGGGTCAAAGACTTTCAAAGATTTAAGTGCAATTGCAATCCGCGCGTTGTCTCTACCAACGAGTAACGCAGACGTCGAACGCGTTTTCAGTGTTATGGCTGTAATTAAAACGAAACTTAGAAATCGCATGCTAATTCCGATATTAGTAGCTCTGATGCGTGTACGAATTCACATGCGCGTATTTAACATTTGCTGTAAAGATTATACACCCTCGGAAAAAATGATTAAGCGTTTCACGAGTCAAATGTATAAAAATCAGGAGCAAGATTGTAATTTAGTTGATGACGATAAGGCTAGTGATGATCTTGTAGAGGCAATGAACTTAATTGAATACTCTGAAAATGATAACGATAACTGTGATCTAATTAATGACTGATTATTAATATTACTTAGTCTTAAAGTTAAAACTAAAAGAATATGTTGATTGGATGTTTCATGAATTCTACATGGAATTTAGTCATGTTTATGTTAATTTAAATATTTGTGGAATAGTTTTAATAAGCTTAGTGATGATTTTCAGCTGCAATACGTGTAATTGCACACTTTTCGAATAAGAAAGATAATTATTTAATGCTGATGACTGAGTGTGATTACCTGAGTGATTTAATCACAATATTACGATTAAAAATATATGTTAATTTATCTGAACTAATTTTATGATGAGAATTTAACTTTATAAAACTTATTTTAATTTTGTATTCTAAATTATAATTTTGTTAAATGATAATAATTTTATGATTCTCAATAAACCAAATTTGAAAAAAAAAAATTTATTTAATTTTTATAATTTGAATTTATCGCGGCGACTTTAGGCGACTTTAGCGCCACGGGTCGGCGACGCGCCGAAGAGAAAGTCTGGTTACCCTGGCTGAGCTCGTCACTTATTGCTACAAAGCCCAGCTGAGTAGACGTGCTTTCTTGTGCTTAATAAAAGTTTCTTGTGCGAAGAATTAGTTCATTCGGTAGTAAGTGATAATTGAAAGTATTTCGTTTCCTGAACGGAAATTTTATCGAGTATTCGATAATTATTAATTATTTATACCACGACTGTATTTTCCGAGGTCCACGAGTCCACCATCTCGAGTACAAGCAGATACAGACATCAGGGTAAGTAGAACTTTTTTGATTTTTTTTTCCTTCCATTTTTTTTATTTTATTATTATTTAATTCTTTTTTTTTTCTGATTTACAAATTTAATTAAAAATTTTCCTATTTTCTTTCTTTTCTCCCTGAATGTTTTCCTGAAAACCTTGCCCAGTGTGTGTGCAGTGATAATTAATATTTAAGATATTATTTGGCTCGCGAGAGAATTTTCTTTGTTTTATCGAATAGGAATTATCGAAAAATAAATACCGAAAAAACAAAGAGAGTCCCGAAATCGGACCTCTTTGTCTCGCTCACGCAAAATAGTCGCGTGAGTACTAGGCCTTTGTGTCTAATTGCGAGGAGAAGTGTAGAGCCGGCGAGCCACCGGTCGCGAGCGAGCGATCGATCGACAGCCGCAAGCGAGCGCTGAGCGTCGAGCGTGCAGAGCTGGGACAGCCGCTGCAGTCTATCGAACAGTCCCGCTACTGTGTACACTACAGTGTACGGGCTTGGCCGATTCTCGGAATTACCGAACACTAAATAAATAAGTTAATGTACATAGTATATTGTCGAAACTACTGTCTCTATTTATTTATTGATTTTCTTTGAAGTGATTTTTCGGAATTTCTCTCTCTCTCTCGTACACACTCTGAAAAGTGTTGTTATTTATCGTAAACAAACTCAAGCAGTTTGTTTAGTAAATTCCGAAATTCTTATTCGAGTGTGCTGGAGTTTTATTTATTAATTTTTTTTTCTTTTGTTTGTTATTATTTTATTTCACTTTTTTTTATGAAACCAAGTATCGCGATAGCTAATCCAGCCGGCGTGCCGAATATTGAAATCCACGGAGCCAGTGGAACCTTACGTCGGGACCCGTCTTTTGACGGAAGCGGTCACTCGCATGAGTCCCCGCGGGATGTGGTAGTGGTTGAAAACCCCCCAGCGAACCCACCTCCAGCGAATCAACTCCCTATCGCAGCTAATGTTCCGCGAGTTCATCCCCTGTTAAATCCACCTCCTATTGAAGTTAACGTTTGATAGTTACGACCCCCGGCGGCCGATCTGAGCCCGCGCCAGGAACTACATCCCCGGCAGAGGGACGAACGACCTCCTCAGCGAGAACGGGAAGTACCTCCCCGAGATGAGTATGAATTTTCGCGACAAAGGAGACCAGGACACCGTCGTTCAGTCTATCCTAATTATTATTATTATTATTATTATTATTATTATTATTATTATTATTTATTATTTATTTGGCCATGAGATCGTAATCCCTTGTGGCCATACATAAGAGCAAATTACATTTTTACATTGGTTTGATACATAATATTAATTTTAGTATAAATATAGAATATTAATTCAAGTTGAATTAAATTAAATTAAATTAATTTAATCCGTTCTGATCAATAACAACTACATAGTTTCTTAAATAATCGATTCTAGACTACGAAAATAGTTGAAAGCAGCGCTTCGAAATTCATTAAAAGTATCAAAGTTTGTAAGATTTGGTGGTAATGTGTTCCAAACGCGTATTGCTGATACTATAAATGACTTATCATAAAAAGCAAGATGGCTAGCTGGGAGCCTTAGATAATCTTGTCGTACATCTCCTCTGCGCAACATCGGTTGCAAAAAAATTAATTCATTACGGAATAATTGACATTGATCGAAATTAATAGCTTTGTACAGTATACATGAGAGAAAGTAGTTTCTTCGCATTTTCAATGTGAGCCACCCGAGTTTATTATAATAAGGTGTTATGTGCTCAAATCTACTGATTTTAAAAATAAAACGTACGCAAGCATTTAACTTGCGTTGTAATTTACACTGCTGCTTTTGAGTGATATTCGTGTAAATCAGAGCACAGTAATCAAATATCGGAAAAACAAGTGTAGTAATTAATTTTATCCTTATTTTTTCACCAAAAAGCTCATTATTCATTTTCAATTGCGCGAGAACTCTCATACTTCGCTTACATACATTATCTATTTGGTCATTCCAAGAAAGCGTATTATCAAGTATTATGCCTAAATATTGTACAGAACTTACAAAGTCGATTACCGTTTGATTAACAGTTATTTTATCACAAGATTTACATTGATCAAGACTAACATTATAAGGACTACCAAAAATTATACATTTTGTTTTATCAGCGTTCAGCTTAAGATCATTGTCATCACACCATCCACAAATAACTTTTATTATTTCATCAAGTTCCCTGATTGTGGTATTAAGACTAGCAGGGTTACATGACAAGTAGACTACGAGGTCGTCAGCATAGAATAAATATTTACATTGCAGTAATTTTCCTAGATCAGATACATATAAAGAGTATAATAACGGCCCTAGGACACTACCCTGAGGAAGACCTCTCAATATTGTTCTCCAATTAGATATTGTACCATTCAGATTATCACGTATCGCTTGCTTTCTTTGACTTAGGTAACTAGTTATTCATTGTAAAGAATTATCTGAAAATCTCATACCTCTCAGTTTATTAAGTAATTTAATATCCTAATTTAATATCCTAATCAACGTGATTACTAGCTGGATACCGATGACGATACCGATGAACCTCAGGAACGTCCATTACCGGCCACGGCTGTTCTTTCAGCCATGAAACGATGGAATTTGTCCTTCGGAGGGACAAAATCCGAGGATGTGGAGAATTATATTACTCGTATCGAAGAGGGTAGACAACTATTACCGATTCGGGATGAGGATCTTCTCCGAGCATTACCATTTGCTTTGAGTGGTGCCGCCCTCATCTAGACCACGATCTCATGCAGTCTATTTTACGTCTTGGGCAGCAGCCTAAGTAGCTTTCTGGGGTCGTTTTGCCGACCCTGACTACCAGATTACTCTCCGGGCAGAAATCTCGAATCGTACCCAGGATGAAAATGAGCCTGTGGGTGATTATCGCGTGTATGTGGGGACTCTTCTCTTGGACCAACCCTCCGTGGACAGAATGAGAAAGAGTCACTTAAGTACACAGGAATTTACTTCCAGCTTATCGCCTCACCCCTTGACGGAGGATCTAACTTTAGATGCTCTCGAAGTTATGGCAGGGCGACAGGAGCAAATCTTGCGTAGCGTTACGCATCACAAGTCTCCGCCTCTGCCCGAGGACTCAATGTGTTCAAGTTTCGCGTACACGGGGCCGCGACGGGCCAAACCCAGACGTCTGGCTTTACACCAGGTCCAAATGGATGAGGCTGACGATGAGGAACCTCCAGTAGATATTTTGGACGCCATAATTCCCGGACGTCGATTCCAACCGCGGAGGACTGACGCAAACCCCCGAGCTTCCGTAAGTGCTCCAGCAGCTTCTGCAAAGCCAGTACCGACAGGCGACTCTGCTGCCACCCTTCCCGAGCCACTTCAGGGTTTAACAAGCCCAGCACTAGCTCCACGACCTGCTGTGACACCTCGAGCTGGACGTAGAGTCATCTCAGGGCCACCGATGCTCTGTTGGAGCAGTGATGGTACGGGCCACCAACATCGTATGTGTACCGCCCCTCGAAGATTTTTCTGTTGTCGTTGTGGTACCCCAGGGGTCACCCGAGTACAATGTCCACGTTGTAATCCGGAAAACTCCCGACAGTCAGCGTTGATCCGGCTACAGCGTTCACGCCTACCGCATTGCCGAGGAGAAAGGTCCCGAATCAGCTACTCACCTCTACGTCGGTAGCTGAGACTATTAAAGACCTCATGAGTTTGGACTCTGAGCCAACTGCCTTTTATATTGACATCGAGGTTCTTGGTGTTAAAGTCCGAGCCCTCGTTGATTCTGGAGCCAGTAAGACCTTCATAGGCCCAGAATATATCTCCTTATTCTCGCAACTTGTAGTCCCCGTACTTAAAACAGCCTCTCGACGAGTTATCGTAGCTAACGGACTTGAAGTCAAAGTCAACACCGCCACCGATACCTGGATAGGAATTGGAGGTAAGCAAGTACGGCAGCGCTTGTACTGGATGCCGTCTTGGTCTCAATCTTGCATCCTTGGTCTCGATTTTCTGCGTGCCGCGAAAATAATTATCGACTTTGCAGCTAGCAAATGGTGGTTTCAGAGTGATCCCGTGAAGGTACAGTCCTTCATTCCTGAAGCTCCATCGAGCCAATTGGTGATGTGTCACGGTCTTCAGACTATGACCGAGTCTGAATCTGACCGATTGGAACGATTTTTAGACTTGCATCTACCGGAAAGTTCCGACAAACCAGGTCTTACAACTCTGGCGGAACATCACATTGATGTCGGTGAGTGTGACCCGATTAAACAACGACATTATCAAGAATCTCCCGCCATTCTCGAGATCATGTGGCAAGAGGTGGATGCCATGCTCGAGAATGATGTTATCGAACCATCTACCAGCAACTGGTCAAGCCCAGTTGTAATGGTTAAGAAGCCCAATGGCAAATATCGCTTTTGTATCGACTTCCGGAAAGTAAACGCCAAAACTAAGCGTGAAGCCTATCCAATCCCGAATATGGCCGCCATCCTCAATCAATTACGGCGAGCCAACTATCTTACGACTTTGGATTTGAGCCAAGTGTACTTCCAAGTACCACTTTCCCCAGAGAGTCGGGAAATTACTGCTTTTACCGTCCCAGGGCGAGGCCTGTTTCAGTTCAAACGCATGTCGTTTGGACTCACGAATGCTCCAAGGACGTTTCAACGCCTACTGGATAGCCTGATTGGACCAGACCACTATCCCCATGTCTTCGTCTATCTAGATGACATCATTATCGTATCAGAGACTTTTGAGGAACATCTTTACTGGTTAGAAAAGGTGCTTGAGCGAATTAAGGCCGCTGGTCTCACCATCAACCGAGAGAAAAGTGTCTTTTGTCGAGCCGAAGTTCTTTACCTCGGTTTTGTCGTCAACAATGAAGGGGTTTAAATTGACCCCGAGAAGACCTCAGCTGTGATGGAATTCCCGACGCCTACCAATGTTGTTTTGTCGGAAACTAACTAATGAGGTTGCTTCCCGTAATTATTTTTGAATTCAGCACTTAAATTAATTATTCGTAGTTTTTAGGTTAGGTTAGGTAACTTCAAATAAATCACTTGGTTATGGGGCACAATAATGATGAAATTTATTTCCCCAGAGGAGGAAAACCTCAGCCGAAACTGAAGAAAACCTTCTCGAAAATATACAACGAGTATGTGTGAATGAGAATGTGTATATGTGTGTGAATGATAAAATTGTGTCTCAAGGAGAAAACACAATAGGAGTGAGCTCAGCCGCCGTTTGTGTTGTTTTTTATTTGATCAATTTAATATAACGATATGATTTGTGATTAATTTCGTGTAAGAATTATTGCCGAGAGGCGTTATGAAAAGAATTGACAGACGCTGTTTTGAAGACCGCTGTCACCGTGACGTAATACGGAAATCTCACGCGAATGTCTGATGTTGTGTTTTAATTAAATTTAACGACGTTAAATTATTGATGATTCAATCAAATGATGTAAGTTAATTGAATGTTGAGATCGTAACTATCCCGAATTAAATGCAAGAATATTTTAGTAAAGGTTAGCCGTAACAGTTTAAGCAGATCGTGTCAGTAGGAAAGTCACAGAGCAACTGCCGCGTGCCGGTACACGCTGCCTGGTGTTTCTCCCGCTTGACGTTCTGCGCAAGCGCAGCAGCCATCATTGCAGTGGTCCGAGCCTCGAGGCTCGGGGACCGAGCTCAAGCCAACGTTCTGGAACGTTCTCGAACGTTCGAGACGCGATGCCCTTTGTGTAAGCGTTTTTCGTAGAATTTTTGTAGCGTTGAATAAATTCGAAGAATTAAAAAATACGTTATGTTTTCTGCGTCTCAACAAATGTCAAGCAAATCCGAAGATTTCTTGGCATGGCTTCCTGGTATCGTCGATTTATTCCCGAGTTTGCTACCGTTGCCGAGCCTTTGACTCGGCTTACTAAGAAAACTGTCGTATGGCAGTGGGGTGAGGAACAAGAGAAGGCGCTCAAGTTATGAAAGGCTCGACTGACGTCCGCGCCAGCTCTTGCTTGTTCTGATTTTTCGTTACCGTTCACGCTGCAAACAGACGCGAGTAGTGTTGGTTTGGGTGCAGTGCTCACGCAGGTTATGGATGGAGAGGAGCGAGTAATCGCCTTCGTAAGTCGTGCTCTCACTGACGCTGAGAAAAAGTACTCCACTACTGAGCAAGAATGCTTAGCAGTACTTTTGTCCATACGTAAATTCCGTTGTTATTTAGAAGGCTACGACTTCACCGTGATTTCCGATCACAGTAGTCTGCGCTGGCTGAATAATTTGAAAAATCCTACGGGCCATTTTGCAAGATGAGCTCTCGAAATGATAGAGTATTCCTTCACCATTGTTCATCGACGTGGTGCTTGTCATCATGTTCCAGATGCCCTGTCACGAATTCCAGAGGGCCTCAGTGAGTTAAATTTTGTTGGAGAGATCCTTGACCAGTGGTATCTCCGAAAATGTCGAGATGTTGAACGAGTTCTGGACCACTTTCCCAATTGGCGCCTCGAGGATGATAAATAATATTATCATCGGCCAAATCACCACGTGGACCACGAGGTTGGAGATCTCAATGCGTGAAAGTTAGTAGTACTGAAGGAAAGACGAGTCGAAGTCATCCGAGAAAATCACGATCCACTTCAAGCTGGTCACCTAGGTGTAGAGAAAACTTTTCGTCGGGTATCAATTCGTTATTATTGGCCCAACATGTTCCGAGATATTACCGAGTTTGTACGTAAGTGTGACACTTGTCAACGAGGCAAGGTTGAGCAGGCTGCTCCCGTTGGACATATGCACCAAAGAATTATCGAGTCACCATGAGTCATGGTCGCAGCTGATGTTGTGTGCTGGTACGCCCAGTAAATCTGGACACACGGCTGCTTTCGTCATACTTCGGACTTGTATACCAAGTGGATTGAAATATATCCTCTTCGACGAGCCACTGGAGCAAAGATTGCCACCGCTCTCGAAGACCTAGTTATTTCTCGTTGGGGTGCGCCCAGAATATTACTTACTGATAATGGAACCGAGTTCGTGAATAAAGATTTACGAGCCTTGGCAGAACGAGTAGGGTGCAAACTGACAAATACACCACCATATCCCGCCCAAGCTAATCCCGTTGAACGAGTGAATCGTGTTTTAGAAACCATGATACGTTCGTTTATTCGTACTGACCACCGAGAGTGGGACTTACATTTACACGAGTTTCGTTTCGCGTATAATACCGGGTTTCACAGTTCTATTGGAACGACTCCCGCTTTTGCTAATTATGGCCGAGAGCCAGAGGCCGCGATCTCTCTTCGTCGAGAAATCGAGGGAGTTATCGAAGTAGTCCCGAGACCCCAAGAATAGTGGGTAAGTCGTATGACTCGACTAAATAAGTGGAGACAATATATCGTTCATGCTCTCGAAGGCCTTTCAAGGCAAGCACATCACTACAATCTACGCCGACGCGCAAGACGCTTTGAAGTCGGAGATCTCGTGCTGAAACAGCAACATGTTTTATCTTCAGCTGCCAAGAAGCTCACAGCTAAGCTGATGACTCCGTTTCACGGACCATTTGTTGTTTCTCGTCGGATTTCAGATACAGTTTACGAACTTGAAACCATGGAAGGAGAAAGAGTCAGACCCATATCGGTCCAAGATTTAAAACCATACAATATTCCTGAGTAAATCCTTCCTAGATCACGTTTATCTCTCGAATAAGTAGATAAGCAAGGCCGGTTTGGCTCCCGATAAAGTAGATTTCTATAGTATGACCTTGTGTTTCTGCCTTATCGACGGTCGTTGGTGAAGTTTCTGCGATATCGATGGGGTAGACATCAAAAACCCATAATCCTATTGCCCAGATCTAGTATTGAATACAATCCTTTTACCCAGATTGCGTTTACCCAGATTTCTAATACTAAGGATATCTTTTACCCAGGCATCCACATACACAGAATTTCGATAACCCAGGCATCCGTTAGCACAGAATATCTTTTACACAGGCATCCAAAAGCACAGGTTTCTTTTGCTCAGATTCTTCATTTTTGTTTAAGAAGTTCAATGAAATAACACTAGATAGCGACAACATGACCATTCCTTTTAAAATTAAATTTATTTGATTCCATTTTATGAGGCATCAGATTTTTCCTAGAATAATTCTGGACTATCTCACTATCCATCAACTGGAATGGTGTACTCCAACCTGAAGAAAAATATTTCATACTAAAAAATTTAAAAAAATTCTTTGCAAAATATTTTTTTCAAAAAAATTTGTATTTATTTTATTTTTCATCATAAATCATAATTATTGATAAGTCATCATCAACAATATTTAGAAACCGTTGAAGTTATAAACAATGCTTGAAATTATAAACAATGACTACAATTATTTTTTAAGCAATTAACATTGTTAATTATTGTTTAAGCATCCTTCTTAAAACGTTTAAATTAAGTGTACACTTTTTCAATGAGTGGTTGCTTTACCGAAAACCCGCCTTCCGGAAGTATATTCGGTAGTTTTTGATCAACAAGAAATTGTAGGAGTTCTGATAATTGAAGTTGTCTTTGCTTCTTTTTTATTCAACAATTTTCTAAATTCTCCGTTCGATAGTAACTTCTAACTCAACTTTCTTCTTTTGTGCTTCGATATTTGGCTTAGGAGTTGCAGGAAGGTTGCTTATACTATGCTTAGGTTGTATCAGCTACCCTTGTGAAGACAAGTATCAATATCCTAATTAGTAATGCCTCTAAGTCATCAGAGAGCAATAATCTGGAGTATATGAAATTATAAAGATCTCGAGTGCTTACAACGTCCCAAATGGCATTACGAGAAAGTATTAAAATTCATTGTGCTCCGATTATAGAATGTTAGGAAACATATAAGATTGATAAATTATTGTTCAGTATTTATAGATAATTAAGCAAGTATGTTTATAAGAACAATAATTTTTAACCTTTTTAAAAAATAAGTGTAGATAATTGTAAATAGCATGTATGCTATCATGCTAATAATTTATTATTAGCTAAAAATAGATTTCGCGATAATTGACTTCATATTCACGCTGTGCCAGTGGTGAGTAGAATCTAAAAAAATATCTTTGTTTATAAGTTAAAATTTCTTGAAACGTAAAATTTAGGATATGTCATTTAAACTTCAATAACATTTACTTAAAATTTCCTTACAACAATCGTCTCTTTAGTAGCGGGAAGAAAATCATTACAAGGTATCCAAAACTTAACTTTACATTTAGTTATTTACTGAAAGGACTAAGAATTGTACACACATTTTATTTTGGCTGATTACATAAGCGATTAATTTTTCTTATTGCGAAATTGCGGAAATGTGATAGAATAAAGTAAATGTATTTTCCAAACACGATTTATGGAAAAGAAATTTGGCTAATATATAAAAAGATATCGAAAAAAAAATGTAGAATTAATTTTCTATAAAAAATTGATGTCACTGAAAAAATTTCAATCAACAGAAAAAGTCGTCGCACTTGAAGCTAGGCAGATTGATTCATTTATGAGACCTGCAATTTCTTTAACTGAAACTTTCAATGCTTATTTCAAATTTTTTTTTTCATGTCAATTATTATTTTGTAAAAAAGCCTATGTTAAAATAATAATAACTAGCAACCTTGCAGTCACTTTTTTTTTTTGTTTAAATGTTTGTTTATTCAGAAAAAATAATACTTCTTACATTATTAATACATGAGTGATTGGCTAAACAAACAGAAATTAAAAAAGCCATACAATTTTGAGTAATGAAAATAAAAAATCATTTAAACTAGAAAAGACCGTAGTTTACGGTACGCACAAGTTTTGACTTACTGTTTTTTTTATATTAATCTGGTTCTGAAATGATTGTTTTTGGTGCAGCCGAGGCTATAGTTCCACTCGTTAATAACTAATCACTAATAACTTAATAACTAATCACTATAAACTAAGGAATTATTTACAAATTTTACACTATTTACAGAGGCAATATACCTTGATTTGGTGTTTTATTGTGTCGCTGGTTGTTGAGTTCGAGTTGCCGATTTCTTAGTTTCTTCATCTGGGGGGAGTTTGGATCTAGCCACCAGAACTTTTTGTCCAGCCGGTAAAAGTTGTTTTTGTCTAGGTCTGGGATGGCCTTGGAGTATTTTAATTCAGTGTAATTTTGATTCTCTGACCAGATAATTTTTTTGTCACTCATATGTCTGCTTTTATGATAAATAACAGGCATATTGAAATGATCTTGAATCACGCCTTGTCTGTCAAGGACTGTGAAGGCTTGTGGTTGGAGGTACCCTGTCTGGGCGTTTTCTTTCACTTGGACCGAGTTTACTACACTGAGACGTTGGATTAAATTATTGTCGATGGACTTTAACTTGGCGAAGTAGTCCCTAGTAAGTTTAAGCCAGAAGTTATCAATCCTCGGGATTTCCGCCTCGTTGTATAAATCCAAGTTTTTGACATTTCGCGTGTATTGGGATTCGATAGATTTATATCTTCTTAGGGCAACCCTTAGACAGGCTCTTTCCAGTTTTCTTAGATTTTCCATTTGGGCTGCGCCCAGGTTCCAAAGAACTGGGGCACCGTAGGTTAATATAGGTCTTATCAGAAGGAGGTAGCAGATAATTTTGGCTCGTGACCTTGCAGTCACTATGTGACTGTCGTGACTTGTGAATTATAAATAAATAAAATTTTTCTTTATTAAATAGTGAATTTTGTGAAATTACACTGTACTTTATTAAATATTGACGTTTTTAAAGATATAAGCTCATCCTGATGTTACACTCATAAAGAGCTTTCATTTGAGCACTCACATACAATTTGATATATTTTTTATATATACATATATATAATACATATAAATATATGAAAGTTTGATGTGTGTACTTGAATGAAAGGTCTTGATGAGTGTAGCATTGGGATAAGCTTATATCTTTGAAAATGTTAATATTTGACAAGATACAAGGTCATTTCTTAATTATGTATCTAGAGAGCATTTTCGAATGCAGCCTAAATACTTATTATAATAAATTGACTATTGGTGAGAATGATATGATACCATAAAAAGGCACAACTCCAGATCAAGACTTTTCCGACGATACCAAATTTAACCATAAAAATCCATTTTATCATATAAATACACTGGCTACAAAATTTCGCTTATTCTTTTAACCTGGCGTCCCACCAATATTTTGAAGTTGTTTAGTCAAGAGTCGAACCGTCAGAGCATACGTGAGTAGCATAATGTCTAGTTATATATAAAGTTACAAAAAAACTATAGGAAATGTTAATGATATAAATTAGAATAGCAACAGATAATATATTTTAACTTTGTTTTTGTTTGAAACCTAGACAATTCTTCTAAAATACAATATTTATTTAAAGAAAAACAACTATTAACGATGCAGTAGATGCATTTTTTGATCAAGCCGCAGAAAACTTAAAAGTATACCATTTTTCACATTACATTTAAATTTCTCTGTTTTAATTGAGTCAAGCAAATGTTTTGCACTAAGCGCAAAACCCCAAAATATCTGTCAAATTCCGCAAAATCACTTCAATTAAACAAGTAATCCTCAAAGCCTGTAATCGCACAATGTGCATTTTTGATTTTCATACGTCATCCTTACATATTCACGACTTCGTATTACAAATTATTATTCGAACCATATTAGTTGTACTTCTCGTTATTTAATGCGTCCAAAAATGTTCCCATTGTCTTTATTCTCGATGTATTTAAGTACTATTTAGATTTAATTTTTTTTTTTTTTTTTAAATGAACGGCAGAAAACTCAGGTAAATCTTCAGAAAATGCTCCAGTAGCAGAAGTTGGTAATTTATTGTTGTCGGATTCTTGTGGCTTGTCTCGAGAAAGTGCCGGAAGACTTTGATTTGTTGCACGAATCAAGGAGCTTAAACAAGTTCTATTTACTTTCATTGGCATTTGTAAAGTAGATATTGAAATTTTTTTCATTTTTTGTAAATCTAATTGTTTTTTAGAATTACATTTTCCCGGAAGATTAATTCTTGAAAACTCAGATAATCTCTTGGTATTGATTTTCATAGCGGAAGTATCCAACAGAGTACTGTTATTTTTCTGGGTTCCATCTTGAGAAGAAGGTGTATTAGTTTCACTATTATCATGAATTAAAGGTCTTGAGAGAGTTTTACTGATTTGCGGGTTTTCAATCAGCGTGGATATCTTATTTTCTTTCATTTGTGATGAATATAATTGATTTTTAAGCTTAGACTCTTGATATTCATTGGTATCCACTGCTTCCATTAAAATTGATGCCATAGTTATCGGTTTTCTTGTAATTTTTGGAGTAGATTGGCTAGCTGGTTTGTACAAATATCGACAGCCAAATTTTAAATTTTTTAACAATTTATCGGAAGCCTTAGGCTCAGTTATTATTTTCCTTCTTTTTCTTCCTTTCTTCTTTCTTTGAAGCCAAGTATTAACATTAATTTTTCCAGAATTTAATCGTGTTTCAATTTTGTTAGTAATATTTTCTAAATGTTTCAGTGATTTATAAATGCTAGATGTTTCTTCACCTTTTTTTTTGTATCACAGAAAATGTCTAGAGTTGAAGGATCAGGATCATCGTCAATTAGATGAAGTTCACAGTCAGTAATTAATTTTTTAATAGTAAATTGTAGTTCTTCAAAAGATTTTGGAAACATTTTTAAAAAATCTTTAGTTGTTAGCCCATTGTCTAAGTCATCTTGAATCTTTCTATTATAATTACTGCGATCAATGAGGTACTGAGGTGTGTGTCTTTTTGTCTGTAGACCTTTGTTTAGTCGACAATAATTTATTTCCTCATCCATTATAATTGTTTCAATTCCACCTAACAAAATAGAAATTGTCTTTTTAATAATCACATATAAATTAACTTGAAAATATATCGTCTTACTAACACCAAAAAATTGTATCCCAAAATTAAATACCTTTTTTATTCTAGTAACGAGATACATTATGAGATTTTACTGTAATGCTTACCAATTAATTTCCACACAATAGGGTGTATCCCTCCGAGCTTGTTTTTATTATGTCGATGAAAACTTTCAGGCCCTCCAGTACTTTTTGTCGACAAGTTAAAAACACTCACATGTTCTAGATGTTTCATCCAGGTGTCTATAAAATAATCATGGAAGACCAGAATATTATTATGAATTTTTTTTACTTCTTTAACTTCTTCTTCGAGGTATCGTGCCGCTTCTTCGAAGCATTCAGGTGGTAAAAGTGGGATGCTCAGGTACATTGATAATACGTTGTCTGGAATTTTGATCTTAAGTTTCTGCCACATCTTATAAAGATGTGGCAAAAACTTAAGCATGATATAACCGCCTATAACATGGTAATTATTATTATTATTATTATTATTATTATTATTATTATTATTATTATTATTATTATTATGTTATTAAATGCTCAGGGGGGTTTTCCCCGGAGTCCGACTCTCCGAGGGCCCAGCCTGAGCTCCATCCATTACTGCTGGACCACTCCGCACAACAAGGCGGTTAGTGATCACAACAGGCCAAAGTCATTTTCCTAAGTAGACGGAGGGAACCTAGTAGCACAGCCTTCTGCATCCTGACTGCCAAGAACTCAACTTTTGATGAGCAAGCTGGAACTCTGGCAAGTGAGGATACAAAAGACTGTTTCATCCCTCCAAGGACGCCAACAATCAGAACGACAAGCTTGACACGGTAACCTGGGTAAAGTTTACCAATTTCAAACAGGAGATCCTGATATATTTATCTTTTGTGCTCTTCTTTGGCTGAGATGATGTATTCAGCCGGGGCCGAAAACTCTATCACATAAATGTCACGAGTAGCCTTGTCAAAGAGCACAATATCAGGTTTGTTGTGATCTAACCGCCGGGTTGTTGCAAATGGCATGTTCCAATAGATTTTACAACTGTCATTCTCAACAACCTGGGAAATATCTCCTGGCAGATAAGGCAGCACTAGTGTCACGTCAATACCGTAGCAATGACAAAGATAATAGTACAGTACTCTCAGGGCAGCATTATGACGCTGGACATATGC